CTGGAAATGAAACAGAAAATAGTAATATTCTAATACTTTTGTACTGTTACAGAACCTCTTTATTGGAAGTGTTGCAATAGAAAGAGTAATCTTAGTTTAGTGTTTACACATTCACTTACCATCAGTTTATTTAATATTTAAATTAATATTTCAGTTACTACTTGTGACGTCTGTCATGCTAAGATGATGTAGTGCAAACTGTATATCATAGTATGTATTTTTGACATTAATATTCAAATCTGAAAAAAATATATCTATCTTCTAAAGCAATCTGAGAGCTGCTCTGTCTCTTTGTTATTATTATTATTACACTACATCTCCATACAATCACACAGAATCAAAGGAACAAAACACAGGTTATTCTGCTTTAAATTTGGTTCCAAACGTTACCTTATGAGGAAAACAGGGCTGTGGCACCGCTTTGGGTTTTTGGATTCATTATAAAAACAGACGGCGATGTTGGACCAAAAATGCTACAATCAGTAACATGGTTTATCTACAGGTGATAATTCAATTATAAAGCAGAAGTCAACGTTATTTTATTATCATAATTAAGACCATCAGTGGACGGACAAACACTGAGGCAACTCATCTTATACGACATATCTGTGGAGTGGCAGATCCTGAACACATTTATCATGATAATTGGGAGTTATGCTGGTCAAGATAAGAGTATTTTTACAATAGCACATGCTTATAGTTGACAAATTCAGGCTCAAAAGAAGAAAGCAACAATGTCATGTTTGTTTGAAATATGAAACCAAAATGTGAAAGAAATCTATTTGACAAAACTGCATCCCCTAAAAGTATTGTATTCATATTTAGAGGTAATAGTAAGACTACACACAGCAATCTACAACAGCTGACAGTAGTCAAGAGCACTGCTGACAGTTGGTGGCGGCCACTCACTGTGAGCCACTAGGCTATAAAATGCACCTGCACAGTCTCACTGAATTTGTACTTTTTTTTTGCATGGTGACAAAGTCAGACTTTGAGTCTGCTGTTGACCCCGAACGTGCTTGTTTCTCTTATGTATGCCGTGTTGCTAAATCCACCTGTAATCTAGCACAAGGTCAGCAGCTACCGCATATTTCAGTCTCTAAACGCACTGCATGAAGAAATAATATTGACTCATAAAGTGCACTACACTGTGTTGGTCAGTGCCGCATTCATCATGCTCCAAATCTGAGGATTATTTGGCTGAAATCTGGATTTGTGCAGCAGCACATGGGTCTAACAGCTGATCGGTGTGTTACGCAATGCAAATCCGATCCCAGCACCATGGGAGGAGGCAGGAGTGCCCGAACGTGGACGCGCATGGTGTCTCCGCCTGTGACGTAGTACTTTTTTTTTGTGCGGGAGTGCGCGCTCGGCAGTCGGCAGGACTCGTGTGGCTACACCGAAAAGTCACAGCAGAGGATTTTGTAGATCACTTGTTCAACTAGTCTCGAGAAGACTAACGTTAGATATCGCGTGGGAGATCACGGAAATACAGAAATGTCGGAAAATAACGAAGAAACACAGACAGCCGAGGAGACACCAGTGGACCAAAAGGTAACGTGTGCAGCACTGACTTTGTTATAGCAGTTACATTTTTATAGCTTCTTCGCCCCGCGCTCGTTATTGTTGACATGTCAACCGAAGCCAGCTGACGTAACACTACTGAGCCCTGGGGTCGAATTGTTAATCTTATTTGTCAAACTTCATAACGACATATGCCGTTTAATGTCACCGGTTAACGTGGCCTGCGGTTTCAGTTGCTAAAACAAGGAATGTTTCGGATGGTTTGTGTGATTGTCAGAGGTGCCGCTAAAGCTAATGCTAGCCGCTGCCATGGCATTCACACACAGTCACACTGGACAGTAGCGTTAACAGTTCGCTCAGCTGCTAGTGTTATTTTAGCTTAACCCAACTGTACTATGGCTTGAAGCCTAGTTACACTAAAGGAATCTTTCATTTCAACCTTAGCTTCCGCAATGTTGCGTGCTGCTAACTTGCTACCTAGCTAGCTGTTAGACTCCCAGCTCTAACGAACAACAAACGGCGGTTATATTGTTGATGGTCCAACCCACTCAACCTACTGGTCAACAGGTTAGCTCCACAGTGACTTGTTTGTGAGGGCGCTGTCGAAGATGCACTTGCTTTTATCTTGATTTGATGTGAGCAGCAGATCTCAATAAAACGCAGTGGTTTGAACCTCTAATGACAACTGTTAATATAGTAATAGGTTGCGTAGGTTTTATCCAGAAATTTTATGTTTTAGTAAATGGTTACTTTACTTTATTAGTCAACGGTTTGACATGGAGCCAGACTATCTCTATACCGCACTGCCATCAGCTGACTGACGTTTCAGTGGGAGCCTGGGGGACACCTGGTGAATGTAGTCTGGTGTTGTGCTGCATGTGGTTTTGGAGCAAAACGTTTTCCCCCTAAATGGTCGATGCCTAATGACTCTGCTTTGTTTTCAGGAGGTTCAGGACAAGATGATCAACTCTGAGAAGTCAGAAGAGGCTAAACTGAAGGCCAGATACCCAAATTTAGGAAACAAACCCGGGGGCTCCGACCTGCTTCGCAAACGCCTCCAGAAGGGGGTGAGTTATATCTGGTGTTTGTCTGCAAAAAAATGATTCTAATAAAAATAAGCAAACCCGTTGTGTGTTGAAGATGCAATTTATTTTCTCCTTGCAATGCAGTTCATGTGTGAATCATGTGTCTCTCTACAGCAAAAGTACTTTGACTCTGGCGACTACAACATGGCCAAAGCCAAGATAAAGAACAAGCAGTTGCCGACAGCTGCGCCGGAGAAGACCGAGATCACAGGGGACCACATCCCCACCCCCCAGGACCTGCCCCAGAGGAAACCCTCTCTGGTGGCCAGTAAACTGGCTGGCTGATGCACACACAGCCCCTGCAGCGCCTCCCGGCTTTTACCCTTTCTACTCAAGTCTCAGAGCTGTAACATTATCTCTCCCACCCCTCACAGTACCGAACCCCCTCCCCTCCAGCCTGGACCCCACCCAACAGAAGCCCACACCCCACACCCAGCGAACTGCCGAGCTGATTCCTTCAAAGTTGTGAAAGTCAAATCATAGGACGATTCCCAAAAGAGAAAAATGGCCAGTGAGACCAGAGTCAATAGGCTCTGACTGGACAGACTCGTATAAGTGAATTCTTCCCATACTAATTTCTCTTTTTAGAAGATGAGAAAAATTTAATATTGTGGCTTTTTCAATTCACCCTGAATGAACTGAATTTAAAGCTGCAGGTCAATTCGGTGAAAATAACTTTTCTAAAATGAATTCTGTTACGCAATTTATTTTAGACTTCTTGAATATATATATATGTATATATAAAATTTGGCTTGCGGCTTGTCAATTAGGGGTGATGGTGAGTCCCGCAGCCAGACCAGTTGAGAACCACTGTTCTAAATGATGCTGACAATATGCTTTTAGCTTAAACGAATATGGTAATCCAGTGCCGAGGCCAAGCTCCTTTTTGTTAACACTTTGCTTATGAACCAGGGGAGGAAGCTGTACTAAAGGACCACACAGCGAAGGCCAGAGTGTGATATGGAACCGCATGTGTGCTGCAGGGCTCCCGAAGGTGAACCTCATTGAGCTCCATTTTAGCTTCAAGACATCTTGAAACGTTGAAGAGTGAAAGAAAAGGAAATGTTGCTTCAGTCTGAACTGCAAGTGTTGAATGCGTGCACTGTATTTATGGCGTGCCATTCGTTTCAGTTCAGATGAGGACACAGTCCTCTCCTTAGGTCAACATTTCTGGTTTCAGGTTGTCGTGTATGGAAATGTAACATGCGAGAATATGAGGCAGAGAGTTATATGGGACCTTAAAGCTATATTTCTGTCAGCAGGGCTGCAGTCTGTCCGTCCTGTATGCTGTGTGAGGAGACTACATTTATGGTGAAAAAACGTACTGGGAGCAGCTCTTGGCCCTGGGAACAAATACTGTTATTAATCATGCTCAGACTTTGGAAAAGTGTTCTATCCCCACAAGCTGAAGTAGTTTTATCTTTAAAATGCCCATGGCCCTGCATAATGCTTTTCCGAGGTCCTAACTGGATGAAGTTTATCTGTGATGCGGTAAATTTAAGCTAGCACAACATCCGTCTGAGCTTCTGCATGTATATGGCTGCTGTCACTTTGTGCCATTTTGTTTTGTAAATAAAATAGTTTTGCACAAATGTTTAATTGCTGTGTCATGTCTGTCACGTTGACTTTTTGATGTTTTAGGAGGTATGGTCAAATTGTGTTAATTAATGCAGACACTGGACCATAAACTGTTTTCATTATTAATATTAATGGTTTTCCCAAAATTCACTTGATGGGGAAAACAAGGATGAAGAAAAACAGGCAGTCATTTCCACGTGTTTTGAAAACGTGCTTCAGGACAAACTTCCCCTTAGAGTTCGTCAAAGATGTTATATTTTTATTCTCAGGTAAATTTACCATTTTGTTTGACCATCGGTAACAACAAAAGAGTGTAAAAAAATCATATGAACTCCAGTCAGTGACACCTCAAGAATGGAGAACTTTTAAATTTAGATTTTAGACTTTCCCTTTTATAATTAAACTTATGTAAATAAGAAAATTTCAGAAACTGAATATAATAAGCTTAATTCTAGTTGGATCTTCCTGCATTTTACCCCAAATTCTGTGAATCAGTCACATATTTTTTTTTTCTTTGCTTAAAGTTTTACCCAAATTTTGCTTTGGGAAATCACACACGTTTTACATTAAATTCACAAATTCCTTATATAAAACTATCCCTGCATGTACATGTATTACATACCATTTCAAAATGGACCAAAACATTTGTATTTCTAGGATGATATTATCTTCATATTTATACTGAAATAATCAGAAATGTATTGATTGATACTGGGGTCCCGCAGCTGAGGGCCCTAACTTACAACATTGTGTTTACTTCAGAAGGTGGAGCCTCATAAAACACAATGTAGTTACAGCTAGAAGATGTGATTCATATTGACATTTAGCCATGCTAAAGCAAAAAGAAAAGACAACAACATCACATAGAGTTGTCCTTTCTATCCATATATGTTTTTTGGAACTACATTATTTGTCATTTATTTTGTTGTTGATGTATTATTAACTCGTCACCACCAGGGGGCGCAGTTTCCCACGCGGCGGCAGCAGCCCTCTCAGTTTGGCTGAATCATTTCATCCATTGTACCCAGAATGCAAAGTGAGACACCGAAACCTCAGCAGCCTCAAGCTTTCCAGGTTATCATGTCGATGAGAGACACATCTTCCCATTGAGTCCCTGCAGCAGCAGCATAAACAGGATTTCTTCCACCGCTACATAAATACACAACGAGTCCCATGCAGCGCGGGGACTTTTAGCCCAGATTGGAGAAACAACATAGCGCGTGAGTCCCCGCCATGGCAGCGTCGGAGCTGTACACAAAGGTAAAACAAGTGTATATTTATATGAAACGCTGTATAGCTGGATGCTAGCATGTTGGCTAAATACATGGCATAGTTCGCAGGTTTTAGCTTTAGCTAAGTGTCTTCAAATGTCCAGGATGTTCTCCCAAGAAACGTGCTGACAGTTTGATTTTCGTTACGAAATACAACGTGTTTTTAATAGCGGGCTCGGTGGAGGTTTTTAAATGAATGAAAAAGGATGTTGAGACCACACATAACCTGCTGGTTTCACATTCAGTGAGAATGTGCTCGGGTGTTTAAATATAGATGTCAGTGTAACGCTGAAATGGGTGCAGCTGACTAAAAGACAGACAGTCGTTTTGTCCCCACATTTGTCCTTTTCATGCATAATACGAAATCAACTGTATTATTACGTTTGTCATTTGTTCCAAGATATCTTCCTCTACCGGGCCTTTGTCTGTTTTTATTGTAAATCATCCCCCTCTGGAGGCTCGGGGGGCTGGGGTGATGCAAAGGCGGTGCCAGCCATCATGGAGGCTCTGCTTTTTACGATTTTAAACCATAACTTTCGCCTCTACATCAGCCTTGTGCCTCTTCATGGCCTTGTTTTCGTGTTTTATATCGATGGTTGGTGCGTGCGTGTCTCTGGTTTTATTGACCCGGTGCTCTTTGGGTGTGAGCCGAGTCCCGCTAGGTTGGGTACCCGCTCAGATGCTGCGATGAGCGCCGCATCCGGACAGTTTTAGCATCCTTTTAGCATCCAGGATGTGAGGACTAGTGGAGGCCCTGAACGCCTCGCTGTAGCTGCACAGCCCCAGATGCTCACTGGTGAGAATATGTGGCTCTCACAAGGTCACAAGTGCTGCTGCTTCTGCTGCTGTGTTTCTAGCACTGCAAATGTGAAACCCAAATAAGAAAGTGCGCGAGGAGGGAGGAGGAGATGAGTCACCCATCCCCCTACTGTGACAGCTGGTGTGTTCAGCTTGAATAAGGTGGTGCTGATGATGACTATTCCTTTTTTAAAATAGGTTCTTAACAGCAGCACTGCAGTGTGTTTGTAATGTCTAACGCTCTCCTTCCAGTTGGATCTCTCAATGTTGTGTCTTGCCGCCTCTGTTGTTTAAGTGGTCGACCCCTTGAACCAGATGACACAGATTTGAACCCTGCTGAAAGGTTTGAGTCCCTGCTGGCTCCTTGAGGCGCTGAACCTGATCTGCGATCATCACAAAGACGTCTTGTTTTCGTTTTCATTGCGGAAATCATTCGATTGTTCTATTTATTGATCGACAGAAAATTTGACCGTAAGTCATTTTCCAAAGCAAAGCAAATAATTCACTGGTTCCAGCTTCTTAAATGTGAATATTTTCTGATTTTCTTTAGTAAATTAGTAAATTTAATGTGTTTTGTTTTTGGATTGTTTGTCAGACAACATTTGGTGACATCATCATGGACTTAAGGAACTCGTAATAGGCTTTTATTTATTGTTATTGACCAAACAAGGAATTGAATACTCGAGTAAGGTATTGGTACAGAGTGTCCTCCCTGCAAACAAGTTAGATTGTTGCCACAGAAAGTGATGGTGGTGGCTTTAAATGAAAGAAGAACATATAAAACATGCAGTATGGTGTCAGATTAGACTATAAATCTAAGATAAATAAATAAAGTTGCTTCCTGCTTTCACTCCCTTTTAGCAAAAATGATATTAATGTGTGCTGGGTCTGGTTAAATAGCACCCAGGTTAAAATTTAAACCAGCCATCGACAAAATGCAAGTAGATTTTGACGGTAGCTCCCTCTGCCAGCAGCATTTAGCTCATTAAATGGTTTTAATTGCAAAGGAGTGGGGGGTTAACTTTGGATGTACGTGTCAGTGTGGCCGGGAAACCCAAAGTTAGACTCAGCTTTGAATGGTCAAGTGTGTTTTAGAAGTCAGACCCCTCTCTGTGATTTACTTTTCCAGCACGGGGGTGGAAACACTCTGCCCTTTGTGCGTACGAGTCGGCCTTATAGAAGCTTATTGAGTGGGTCGGAGCTGCTTGGTTAACGTGCGCAAACATGCACATACAAATACACAC